TTTCACACAGGAAAAACCTTTCTGAAGAAGATTGTGACTTTCAAAAGGTCCACTTGCTGAAAGTTGAGTAACTGGAATACTGTCCTTTAGCTGAGATCCAAGTCCTCTTGCATTCATCTTCAGACGCCCTGGAAACAGCTTCTCAGCCCCTTTACCATCAGCCGACCCTGCCGCTTACTCTCATAATTTTTCTATGAGAACATGTGTTGGTTGTGTAATAAATAGATGGATAAACATATTGGGTTTGTTGGGTTTTTTTAGTTTTTTCTTTTTTTAGAGACAGGGTCTAGCTCTGTAACCCAGGCTGGAGCACAATGGCATGATCATAGCTCACTGTAACCTCTAACTCATGGGTGCAAGTGATCCTCCTGCCTCAGCCTCCCAAGTAGCTGGGAATAAAGGCATGCACCACCACACCAGCTAATTAAAAAAATTTTTTTGTAGAGATAGAGACTCAATATGTTGCCCAGGCTATTTTTGAACTCCTGGCCTCAAGTGATCAATCCTCCCACTTTGGCCTCCCAAAGTACTGGGATTACAGGCATGAGCCACTGAGCCCATCCCATACATGCTATTTTCTTAAAGGCTGTTGAGTAACTCAGGGCAGAGCTAATCAAAGTCTGAACCCAGGATAGGCAAAGTGGAGGGTGTGGGGAAAGGGGACCAATTTTTCTGATAGATAGGCAGGACTTGGAAACCAATTGGATATACCAATTGGATATAGAATGAGGGTGGGATGAGTTCAGAAGGTTTTTTGTTTTATCTTGGATACAGGATCTTGCTCTGTCACCCAGGCCGGATTGCAGTGGTGCAATCATAGCTCACTCTAACCTCAAATTCCTAAGCTCAAGCAACCCTCCTGCCTCACCCTCCTGAATAGCTGGGACTACAGGTGCTGGCCACCATAGCTGGCTAATTTTAAAAATTTCTTTTAGAGAAGGGGTCTCGCTTTGTTGCCCAGGCTGGTCTCAAACTCCTGGCCCGCTCTTGCTCAGGCTGTTTTCAAACTCCTGACCTCAAGCAATCCACCCACCTTGGCCTCCCAGCGTGCTAGGATTACAGGCATGAGCCACCGCGCCCAGCCCCAGCCCAGAGTTTTAACTAAGCCATAGGATTGCTCAGCCTGAAGAGAAATGCAAGAGGGAAGGCTGCGGTGGGGTGGGGAGAGAGATAATTAGCCCTTCCCTTTGCTTATTTCTAAGTACTGTTTTTCCTCCTGCACTTTTAGCATGAATGCTGCGTGTCACTCTTGTGGTTGTCTCTCTCCTCAGAGGGCTGCAACCGTTACTTGATTCGGCCTGTCTGGATGCTCAGCAATTAATTAAGAGTGGTCACAAGATTTGAGCTGATGGCACTATCACACTCCATAGCTCCTATATTAAGTAGCATTTTGTGTGAGCTCATCTCATATCCTAGGAGCTTTATGTGTATTGACCCAGAGGTTCCCAACCTTTTTGCCACCAGGGACCGGTTCCATGAAGACAATATTTCCACGGATGTTGGAGGGGATGGTTTCAGGATGAGTCAAGCGCCTTACATTTATTGTGCAGTCAAACGTCTCTGCTAATCAAAATCTGTATTTGTAGCCGCTCCCCAGCGCTAGCATCACTGCCTCAGCTCCACACAGATCATCAGGCATTAGACTCTCATAAGGAGCACACAACCCAGATCCCTCCATGCGCAATTTACAGTAGGGCTCACGCTCCTATGAGAATCTATTGCCACCCGCTGATCTGACAGGAGGCTGAGCTTATGCGGTGATGCCGGCTGGGGAGTGGCTGTAAATATAGATGAAGCTTTGCTCACTCAGCTGATGCTCACCTCCTGCTGTGCGGCCCGGTTCCTAACAGGCCATGGACCAGTATCAGTAATGGGTACTGGGCCAGGCGCGGTGGCTCACGCTTGTAATCCTAGCACTCTTGGAGGCTGAGGTGGGCGGATCGCTGAAGGTCGGGAGTTCGACACCAGCCTGAGGAAGAGCGAGACCCTGTCTCTACTGAAAATAGAAATAAATTAATTGACCAACTAAAAATATATGGAAAAAATTAGCCGGGCATGGTGGCGCAGGGTAGCTATTTGAGCCAGCGTAGCGTTGGAGCCTGAGGCAGGAGGATCGCTTGAGTCCCCGAGGGAAGTGTGAGGTTGCTGTTGAGCTAGGCGGATAGCCGATGCCGACTGTAGCTCAGAGCGAACAGCGTGGCGAGACTCTGTCTCCAAAAGAAAAAAAAAAAGTAACAGGATACTGTCTGGTGGCGCAGCTGAAGCTGCAGTATGTAAAACCGGAAGTCATGAATATTTTTGTTCTTAGTGGTGACTTTTTGTTTTAAAAGCCAGTCAAGTTAGCGAGCAGCGACAGGGCGTGTGAGACCCATTTAAGTCTATTGAGTGACCCTATGATGTAGAATTATTAATGGTGCCATTTAACAGATGAAGAATCTGAGCCACAGAGAACACAGAAGTTATCAGTAAATGCCCCAATGGTCACCACAGCTAGAAACTCACACAGCTTATGTTTTTTTTTTTTGAAACAGGGTCTTTCTCAGTCACCTGGAGTAGAGTGCAGTGGCATCATCATAGCTCACTGCAGTCTCACATTGCCGAGCTCAAGCGATCCTCCTGGACTCAGCTCCTAATGATAGCTGGACTAGCAGAGCACTTGCCACCACAGCTAATGTTGCTGTTTTGATGGAGGAGTGGGTCTCCTTGCTCAGCTGTCTGAACGCCTAAGCTCACAGACAATGCCTCTGCCTTGCTCCAGAGCTAGAGTTATTGCATGAGCCACTTGCTCAGCCTAGCACGCGTTTGAGAGTAGGTATTATATATAGTATAATGTGTTTTTTTTTTTTTTTCGTTTAGACAGAGGTCGTCCCTTTGTTACCCAGGCTAGAGTAGGTGCCATGTCGCTCACGAGCGAACCTCAAGACTCGCTGCTCACGATGCTTCCTGCCTCGAGCTCCCGAGTAGCTGGGACGTACAGCGGGATGCGCCGACAGCCGGATGCCCGGCTAATTTGTTTTCGAGTAGATGATATGATTATTAGTTGGCCAAGTTGAATCTGTGCGGGTTAGCTTTTATAGTAGAGACGGGGTCTCGCTCTTGCTCAGGTTGGTTTTGAACTCCTGAACTCAAACGATCTGCCCACCTCGGCCTCCCAGAGAGCTAGGATTACAGGCGTGAGCCACCTCGCCCGGCCCCTACACAGCTTTTAAAGACTATATATCTCTATAATCACGTGTACTTTGCAAAACCTCTGTGAGTTCAGTGTGCCAGGTGCTTCCAATCCCAGCTGATGGATGAGGAAAGAAAGGCCTAGAGAGGCAACGATTCTAAGGTTATAGGAGGGGAACAGTACTAGACATGAGATTAAAGTAAGGATGAGATATACACACGGCCATATGAATGGATCTCAAAAAATAATGCTGAATGAAAAAATTAACTGAATGACCATTTATATAAATGTTGTTCATGTACATTAAAATGTACCTACTGTACATTACACATTTTTCAAAATGCATACAGACCAAAAAAGTACATGTTAAGCACATTAGCGTGGTTGCCTTAGGACAGGAAGGGGAAAGGAGTGGAGCGTGGGGCTATATTAGTCTGCTTGGGGCTGCCATAAAAGAATACCACAGACCAGGAGGCTTAAACAACAGATAGTTGTTTTTTCACAGTTCTGGAGACTGGAGGCACCAAGATCAAGGTGCCTGCAGGGTTGGTGTCTGGTGAGGTCCCTTTCCTTGGGTTGCAGATGGCTGCCTTCTTGCTGTGTCTTCACATGGCCTTTCCTCTGTGCATGCACACACACAGACAGAGATGGTGTCTTTTCCTTTTTTTTTTTTTTTTTGAGATGGAGTCTCCCTGTGTTCCCCAGGCTAGCCTCAAACTCCTGGGCTCACGTAGCAGGGACTTCAAGCACATGGTATCTTTTCCTCTCCTTATAAGGACACTAGTCCTATTGGATTAAGGCCTCACTCTTATGACTTCATTTAACTTTATTTACCTCCTTAATAGATGTTAGAGCTTCAACATTTGAATTTTGGGGGTTACACAATTCAGTCCATAACAGGGGCTAAAAGGGAAATAATAAATAAAACCAAAGAAAAAGAAAGAAAGAAAATGGAGTTGGAGAGGTCAGCAGGACCCAGATCGAGCAGAGCCTGATAATGCCATGATAAGGAGGCTCAGAGAGGTTAATTTACATACCCAAGGTCATCCAGCTCATAAATGCTAAAGCCAAGGTTTGTGTATATATAACTGATTGACTCTAAAGCCCATGTCATCTCAAACCACTCTGAGTCCTGACAACAAAGCTGAAATATATATATTTCATTTTGCCATGAGGAAACTGGAGTTCAGAGAGGTCAAATGACTTGCCCAAGGTCACACTTGCCCAAGGTAGAGGTGAGGTTTGGTGTGTTCTTTTTTTTTTTTTTTTTTTTTAATTTCTATAAATATCAGGCCTGGAAAATGGATTTTTTTTTTTTAATTTCTATAAATAAGCATATGTTTGTTTTGTTTTTGTTTTTTTTTTTTTTGAGACAGAGTCTTGCTTTGTTGCCTAGGCTAGAGTGAGTGCTGTGGCGTCAGCCTAGCTCACAGCAACCTCAAACTCCTGGGCTCAAGTGATCCTTCTGTCTCAGCCTCCCAAGTAGCTGGGACTACAGGCATGTGCCACAATGCCCGGCTAATTTTTTCTATATATATTAGTTGGCCAATTAGTTTCTTTCTATTTATAGTAGAGACGGGGTCTCGCTCTTGCTCAGGCTGGTTTCGAACTCCCGACCTCGAGCAATCCGCCCGCCTCGGCCTCCCAGAGAGCTAGGATTACAGGCGTGAGCCACCGCGCCCGGCCTGGTGTGTTCTTTCTGACTCCAAAGCAAGGCTATTTTTCATGTTCTGCAGCCTCCCAGCCTTTGTCTCTGGCTTACTTGGTTTACTCATTCTTTCATGCATTCATGCATCTAGCATATTATTTATTGGCACCTTCTTTATTCCAGGCCCTGTACAAGACACTGGGGATATAGAAATTAGGACGACGTGGTCCCTGTTCTCAGAGAGCTCAGCCAGGAGTAGAAGACAGCCAGGTGAGCAGATGTGGGCACTGGAGGGGCTGTGAAAGGTGCTGGGACTCTAAAGGGGGGGCAAATGCTCTGCCTAGGGTAGTTGGGGAAGATATCACAGAGAAGGCAGAGCCCTTTGAATCGGATCCTTGAGGGATGAAGAGGAGTTCACCTGGCGCAGAAAAAGGAAAAGCTCATGTGGGTAGAGAGCTAAGGATGTTTGGACCAGTGAGAGATGGGGTGATGAGGGCGGCTGAGGGAGGCTTTGGCTGTCAGGGAAGAACTCGGAATTTGATTCTGAGTCACTGGGGAGTCCCTGAAGTGTTTTGAGCAGGGGAGTTCCTTGGAAAGGATTCTGAAGGAAGGTCTCTGGCAGTGATTTCCAAAGACCTGGAGTCCTTTTAAGGATCCACTGAATCCACTGTATGAGCTGACAGATTGATGGCCCTTCCCTCCCCCAAACCCATTATGGCTTTTGGTCCACTCAGACCTTGGAAATTTTTTTTTTTAACCATCTCATTAAAGCCTTTGTCTCACCTGCTAAAGAGAGCGGCCTGCTTCCTTCCTCTCTGCCCTTATCCCACCTCTTACCACAATGATGGGCTACAGAGGGGCTTGGAATAGAGGTATGTGGAGAATGAGGGGGTTAGAGCTTCCCACAGGATTGGATGGGCAAAGAGATACAGGAGGTGGGAATCCCAGGTGCTTTTTTGTTTGTTTGTTTTTAACTTTAGCCTGCTGTTTCTGAATGCCAGGTGTTCTTGATCTTGGCTTTCCCCACCTTACCGGGCCTGGGCCAGTCTAGCATCTTGGCTTCCTATACACCCGCCCCCTTGTTTGCCGCACTCAACTTCCTGTCCCACCAGAGGAAGTGGGCAGCATAGCAGGTGCAGCAACAGCTAGCGGAACCATGGTGAGTTCTTACGCCCAGGAACCCAGGCATCTCAGCCCCCAGCCCCCTATTCCTGGGGTCCCCAGGTTGACCCAAAGTAGGCTGACTTTTCCTAGCCCCCGAGCTAGGAAAAGTGATAGTGGGGGCACTGCCTGCCACTTCCAACAACTTCATATTGTCCACCCCCCACCAGCAGGACAAGGAGTATGTGGGTTTCGCCGCCCTCCCCAATCAGCTGCACCGCAAGTCTGTCAAGAAGGGGTTTGACTTCACACTTATGGTGGCAGGTCTGGGGGTTTTGCAGAGGGAACTGGGGAGGGGGTGTGCTCAGGAGACCCTGGCCGTCCCCTCACCTGACCTGTTGGGCTTGTCCTGTCCATAGGGGAATCAGGCCTGGGGAAATCCACCCTCATTAACAGCCTGTTCCTCACCAACCTCTATGAGGATCGGCAGGTACCAGAGGCCAGTGGTAAGACCTTCCCCACCCTATCCAGGCAGTGCCCTCTGCCCATCCCCATGTCCCCAGGCTGCACTCGTCCTTTCCATCTGGGGACTCAGACAGCTCACTCACTGCTTTTCTCTGAGACTGTTTCCTCCCCTGAGAAATGGGTGGGAGTAACTGTGATACTGAGAAGGGAAATTAGTCCTGCTACAGACCCCTCCCCAGCTCCCTGACCTCTCCCTGTCCCCATAGCTCGCTTGACGCAAACACTGACCATTGAGCGCCGGGGCGTGGAGATCGAGGAGGGGGGTATCAAGGTGAAGCTCACCCTGGTGGACACGCCTGGCTTTGGGGACTCAGTGGACTGCTCAGACTGGTGAGGAAGGGAGGGCTTGGAGGCTGAGTCTCTCAAAGTGGCTACTCTGTGGATACCAAGGGTCAGTTACAGGGCTGGTCTGTCTTGGATCCCTAACCCAAAAGGCCATGCTCTGCTTCCAAGATGCTCTGTGCTTCTTGATGTCTCCTCTATGCCCCCACCAGTCTCCCTTGATGTCTTTGGTTGGAACCAAAGAAACTACTTCCCACTTCCACAGTCCTGGCTAGCCTTGCCCCCGTCCCTGTGGCCCCGACCTCTGACGGCATGCCCTCTGCTCACACCCCAGCTGGCTGCCCGTGGTGCGCTTCATCGAGGAGCAATTTGAACAGTACCTCAGGGATGAGAGTGGCCTGAACCGGAAGAACATCCAGGATTCCCGAGTCCACTGCTGCCTCTACTTCATCTCACCCTTCGGCCGGGGGTCTGGGGAGCCCCCTGGGGTTGGGGCATTTGGGGAGGGCTAGGGGGTCTCTGCACCCTGGGGCTGGGGTGCTGACCGATCCATGGATACAGGCTCCGGCCCCTAGATGTGGCCTTCCTCCGGGCGGTACACGAGAAAGTCAACATCATCCCGGTCATCGGCAAAGCAGATGCCCTGATGCCTAAGGAAACCCAGGCTCTAAAGCAGAAGGTGGGTGGTAGCCTCTGACCTTTGGCCCCAAATGAGGCCAAAAGTTATGGCCAAACCTGATTTCAGCTTTGAGTTCTTTGATCTTACGGTGGCCTTTCGGGAGCATGATGTGCCAGCTAGACTGGGAGAAAGCATCTGAGGAAGGCAGGCAGTAAGCTGCCAGAGGCAGCCATGTCTCCCAAGGCTCAGAATAGGGTGTGTGTGCAGCTCCTGAGCTAGACGCTGGGCTGAGGCCTGTCTGGAGGGCAGGGGCATAGACACAAGGACATCATGGCCTCTCTTTGGCCCCAGGATGCTGATGACCCCCCCCACCACACTGTCTTTAGAGCCCCCTCCCACTGTTTCTGCTGCCTTCTCCCCTGGTGTCTTAATGGCTGTCCATCTTAGAATCTTGTCTTGGTTCCACACCATCTATGTCTCTGAGATTTTGTTTCAGTCATCCTTCATGTCTGTCTCTCACCATCTGTCTTTCATGTCTTCCCCTCTGTCTCTGACCACTCAGTATCTCTATCTCACTGGCTCTGGCCATGTGTCTGTCTGTCATCATGGCCTCTGTGTTTCACACTATCTCTGTATCTCTCCCCTCTGAGATCCGGGACCAGTTGAGAGAGGAGGAGATCAACATCTACCAGTTCCCGGAATGTGACTCTGATGAAGATGAAGACTTCAAGAGGCAGGATGCGGAGATGAAGGTGTGAGAGGCAAAGAAGGAAGGGGCAGAGAAGCAGAGGAGGTGGATGTGGAGGTTGAATCTGAGAAAGAGGTTTCTGCCTATGATAGGCCAACAGTGACCCCCGACCCCTGCCTTCTAGGAAAGCATCCCTTTTGCAGTTGTCGGTTCCTGCGAGGTGGTGAGGGATGGCGGGAACCGACCGATGAGGGGACGTCGCTACTCCTGGGGTACTGTGGAGGGTAAGACCAGAAGGGGGCTCATGCTGCCTCCAAGTCAACCGCACCAAGCATGTGAAGTGGGGGTGGGCTATGAGACTGGGGGGTCATAGTAGCCAAAAGATGGGTTCTTGGGCCGCAGAGTGCGACCCCTCCGCTAGAGTGGCAGCGGGACTCCCCGCAGACCCGACACTATGGGTGGGGTTGGACCCAAAGCTCCCTGACACTCGCTGGTCCGCCCCCCAGTGGAGAACCCACATCACTGCGATTTCCTGAATCTGCGACGGATGCTGGTGCAGACACACCTGCAGGACTTGAAAGAAGTGACGCATGATGTGCTCTACGAGGGCTACCGGGCCCGCTGTCTACAGAGCCTGGCCCGGCCTGGGGCTCGTGATCGAGCCAGCCGCAGGTGAGAGCAGGGGCCAACTGTCCGGGTGCTTCCAAGCCCCGCCCCCACCCATGATCCCGCCTCCCAGGCCGGGTCCTCACCCTGCGTGACCTCTCCTTCACCACTCAGACCTCTCTCCCAGACTTTCTCCACCCATTTTGTCTCTGTCCCTAATCTCAAGGACATGGCTCCACCTCCTAGACACCAACGTCGCCCCAGGCCCTGACTCGGCCCTTACTCACAACCCCAGGTCTTTTTCTTGATCCCTGTCCCCTTCCCACTACCCCCCAGTAAGCTTTCCCGCCAGAGCGCGACAGAGATCCCGCTGCCCATGCTGCCTCTGGCCGAGACAGAGAAGCTGATCCGCGAGAAAGACGAAGAGGTGAGCAAGGACCACCTCACTTTCCCCCGACCAACGCCTCAGGTGCCTTTCGAGGTCCCTCTCTGGCCTCGCCCTGTCCCATCGCCTGCAATCTTGCCCCGCACAGCTGCGCCGCATGCAAGAGATGCTGGAGAAGATGCAGGCCCAGATGCAGCAGAGCCAGGCTCCGGGCGAGCAGTCGGACGCTCTCTGAGGCCCGGCCCCGCCTCTCCTCGGCGCTGCCTCAGCCCGTCGCCTGTCCAATCCCCGCAGCCCCCGCCGCCGGCCGCCCTGGCCCGGTCCCTGCGGGCGCTCCCGCCGCGCGCTTCCACCCGCGCCTGAGTTGTAGCCCCAGGCCCGCCTGCCCTCCGCCCACTTCCCCCTCCTCTCCTCTCCGGGTCGCCCCTCTCAACCCCTGCTCTGTCTTCAATAAAAACTGAGCTTCCCGAGGCCACGCGAGTCTTCCCCTAACTAGCGGGGACAGGCGGCGGGCGCAGGGCGTTCCTTCGCTCGCGGGCACTCCCCGCGCGCCGCGGGCCCTCCCGCACAAACGCTGCGGCGCGCCCGTAAGAAACAAAGACCAGCTGAATTTTATTGTGAGTCGGGTGGGGGTCGGACTGGCCAGTAGAGGCCTAAGAGGGCCTCTTATTCCTGGTCCTTGGCGTCGCCATGCGTGATGACGTAGCAGATGTTCTTGTAGTCTACGTTGCCGCCCACGTCGGGAGGGAAGGCCGCCCACATGTTCTTGATCTGTGGGGTAGACGCAGGGACATCTCCTACCGGCCTTTAAGCTCCGCTCCCTCCACTCCCTCCCTTCGCTTCTCCCAGCCCCTCCCCCACTCACCTCCGCTGGGGTGAAGCGGTCACACTGCGTGGTAAGCAGCTCCTCCAGGCTGGAGAGAGGTGACATGGGGAGTTGATACTGGGTTCATGAGTCCTTTCCACTCCCTCCCACCTCATCCCCGTTGCTTCCTCTAATGTCCCCTGGAAACCAATGTCACTCTAGAGCCCTCATTGGCTTTCTAAGCTTTCTGGGCTCTTTGCCCATCCCCCCCACATGGATGTGAAAATGCAATCCTACCACCCATTTCCTGACTTCTCCCTCACCTCTGGCAGTGCCAACCCTTGGTTGGAATTTAAGGAGGATTTCTGTGTGGGAACACCTGGTGGGCACTTACAACTGCTTCTTGATGGTGCCCTTCCCGTCAGGGTCCAGGACCTTGAAGGCTCCAGTGATCACATCCTCAGGGTCGGCACCTGGGGGGGGGTAGAGGGCACGTGAGGCTTAAGGGTCCCCACAGGGTCTGGGAAGAGGCAGCTGAGGGCTTGGACCCAGGACACTTCACTCACCCTTGAGCTTCTCCCCGAACATGGTCAGGAAGACGGTGAAGTTGATGGGACCACTGGCTTCCTTCATCATGGCATCTAGCTCCTCATTCTTCACGTTGAGGCGGCCTGGAGGGGATTGGGGGAAGCATGGGCTGGAGCATCTCCTTGGGCCAGGGCTGTGCTTCCCAGAAATTCAGATCATCCTGTCCATTTTTCAGCTGGGTAAACTGAATTCCCCAGACTCTGCAGTTTTGAATATTTATAGATGGGTCGGGGCTCACCCATGGCAGCAAAGGTGTCCCGAAGGTCCTCCTTGTCGATAATGCCATCACGGTTCTGGTCAATTACTGTGAAGGCCTGTGGAGGGCAGGGGTAGGGAGAGGTTAGGTCCCCCACGGCCAGGCCTCACTCAGCATTCCTACCCCAGGCAGATCAGATTCTGGCCCCCAGCCAGCTGTCCCCTCCCACCCCAAGCAGGGAGGGGAGGAGGGAATTCTAAACCCTTCCCCTCCCTGTGAACAGGTGCACATTCCAGGAAGGGGGCTGGGGGAGGGGCAAGAAGGGGGTGCCTTTGGTCAGTCTTCAATCTTCCCTCTCCCCTCACTCACCTCCTTGAACTCCTGGATCTGAGTCTGGTCGAACATGGAGAAGACATTGGAGCTTCCACCCTCTGCTGCTGCCCTTCTCTTGGCCTTCTTGGGTGCCTGCGGGGTGAGGGTTGGGCAAAGGGGACCATGGGCCAGTCCCTACACCTATCTGGGGGCAATGGATTAGATTCAGCATTCTTGAACTCCCTTCTTTCTTTCTTTAATTTTATTTTTTTAGAGACAGGGTCTCATTCTGTTGCCCAGGCTGGAGTGCAGTGGCCCAATCAGAACTCACTATAAGCTCAAATTCCTGGGTTTAAGCAATCCTCCTGAGCAACCAGAACTACAGGCATCTGCCACCATGCCTGGCTAATTTTTAATTTTTTTGTAGATACAGGGTGTTGCTATGTTGTCCAGGCTTTTAAGTCCCTTCTAAAGCAACTCTTCTGGCCTGGGCCTTCTACTCCTTGGGACCTCTTTGCTGAGGGGTCTTGCTTTGGTTCCATTTCCCAAATTTCTACAGTGGCTCCTGTGTCCCCATCCCTCCATCCTACCCAACAAATAGACATTTCCCTTCTCAGTACCCTGAGCCTGCCTCCCCTGAGCTCCACACTTGCTGTGTGACCCTGATCCACTCATTTACCCTGTCTGAACCTCTACTTTCTCTTTTCTTCTTTCTTTCTTTCTTTCTTTCTTTCTTTCTTTCTTTCTTTCTTTCTTTCTTTCTTTCTTTCTTTCTTTCTTTCTTTGTTGCCTGGGCTAGAGTGCTGTGGCATCAGCCTAGCTCACAGCAACCTCAAACTCCTGGGCTCAAGCGATCCTCCTGCCTCAGCCTCCCAAGTAGCTGGGACTATAGGCATGTGCCACCATGGCCGGCTAATTTTTTCTATATATTTTTAGTTGGCCAATTAATTTCTTTCTATTTTTAGTAGAGATGGGATCTCGCTCTTGCTCAGGCTGGTCTCAAACTCCTGAGCTCAAAGGACCCGCCCACCTTGGCCTCCCAGGAGTCTACTTTCTCATTTATTAAATCGAGTGGGAATCCTTGACTGGCTGGTCACACAGGACTTTAGGAAGCTGGAGTATAGGAAGGATGTAGCAGGCTTTGAAAGGGACTGGAGTGGATTAGGGACTGTGAGTGGAGAGTTGGAGTAGATTATGTTTGGTTGGGTCCTTTAGGCCATTATTCTGTCTGTCTTTATCCTGATTAGTGATGGCAAGAAAGTGAGGAGTCACCTCTTTACCTTCTGTCGGACTGGGAACCAGCTCCTTTCTTTCAAAGGGTGAGGCTGCCCTGAAGTCTAAGGGATCTGGGAAGGGTTTGGAGGTTTCTCACTTACCATGTCTTCGGTCTCCCAGGGGCAAGGCAGTGGCTCTGGCTGGAAAGAAGCAGAGAGTCAGCCTGGGGCAGTCCCTCTGGGGTTATATAGTCTTGCCCCAGGGAGCCCTTAACATACCAGGGTAACCTTAGCCCTGCAAGTGCCCACCCCAGATACCAAAATAGCCCGGCTCAGTGCCTCTCCTTTCTTGGAGGGCCCAAAGCAGCTGGAGCCCAGGGCGGGAGGGAGGAGGGTGTGGGTCTTAGGATGCATGTCTCACTAGGGCCTAGGCAGGAAGGGATGTTCTTTCTCCCAAAATGGGGCTGGAATATGCCAGGCTTCAGAGAGCACCCAAGCCAAGGCACAGTTCTTGGAGAGAGATGAATGAGGGACCTGTGCCCCTGAATGGGTAGGCCCAGATTTAAACCTAGTGAGCATTTATTGAGCACCTACAGCATGCCAGGTGCTGGGCTGGGGTTTGTGGATGCACTTTGGCAAACACAGTCCCCGCACATGGTGGAGTTTACAGTCAAGTGTGTATATGCATGGGGGGTAGTGGCAGAGCTTAAACGTGGGAGAGAGCCATCTGTAGAAGCTGGGAGATCAGGAGGGTCTCCTATACCCCCTTCAGGAGAGAGGGGATTTTGTGAGGGAAGATGCTCTGTGATCTTGGGCTTTGTGCTTCAACCCCCCTTGGTTTCCCCTCTATAAAGTGGAGATGTAATTCCCATCCCACAGCACTTGCATTATAATTAATTATGCCCTGCCTTGCTGCAGCTTACAGTCTAACCATAGAGACAGGAATGAATACAGAAAATGATGTGTACCAGCTAGTCAGAGCCCAGAAGTAGAGGGCACAGCAGCCTTGTCTAGGGGTATGCAACTGGCTTCCTGAAGGCCAGTAGAAGTGAGCAGGTGAAGGTGGAGGAGGAGCAGGCATGCTGGCACAGGAGGGCATGGCATAGGCAAAGGCTTGGAGAGTGAAAGATCAGAGGTCTTCAGGTCACCAGAATTATGATGGGGCTGGAGCAGAGGATGCAAGAGGCTGGTGACCAGACCCTAGAGGGCCCTCAATGCAGGCTGAGGGAAGAGACCCTGGGGAATCTTGGAAAGGTTTAAAGCAGGAGAAGGACATGGTATAGTATGAGTCTAGAATCATTTTTCTTGGTACTGGTGTGGAGGCTGGAACTCAGGGAGAGGGAAGCAAAGACAGTAGGAGGCAACCTAGCTGGCTGCCTCCTCATAGGTGGCTGGGATGGTCAGTGACTTTGCTTTATTCTGGGAAAGAACCATTTTGACTGACTGTGTGACTTTGAGATCCCCTCTCCTATTCCTCTGAGCCCCCAGTGCCCTCCATGCAGCAGAAGTCTGGGGAAATAGTGGCTGAAAAAGCCCCACGTTGGCAAGGACACCCATCTCCTCCTCCTCCTGCTCCCTCTAGGACCTGATGTCCTCAGCAAGGTGCCTTCTCCCTTCCCCCTCCTCTAGCCCCATGCCAATGCCTTTAAGACATTTTCCTTTCTGGGCACTGGGTGGCCTAGCCACCTGTTGTCTCTAAGAAGACAGAAGGAGCCACCCTAAACTTAGTAGCTGCCCTTGGCCTCCTGCACTGGCCCCTCCCTGCCTCAGATGGCAGCTGTCTTGCCTTATACGGTTACCATGGGGGTCCAGGCCAGGGAGGAGTACACTTATAACTGAGCTCTGGGAGAGGAGGAGGACTCCAAAAAGGGGAATGGGAGGAGTGCTCAGAAAGCTTGGGTCAAGTGGAAGGTGAGGAGAAAAGATTGGACACTGAATGGGAGTTCACAGGCTTTGAGTCTGAGTTGGGAGTGAGGAGTCTCAGAGAATTCAGAAACCAAGGAAGAACTGGGAAGTTGGGAGCTAGATCTGCCTGGAATTCCAAGATAGTGGGTACTATATGCAAATTGGGGCCCTCTAATCCTAGGGTTCAGGAGAATGGGGGTCAGAGAGAGAAGGGGGTATTTAGAAGTTGGAAGGTTGGTGCTCATGTCAGGTCTGTATGTTTGTGGTCTAAGGACAACCCAGAGAGCTCATGAGATTGGGGTATGGGTTCTTAGCAGAAAATGAGGAACACAGAGAGATGCAGCTATGAGGAGAGAGGGGTTGATAGGACTGGGGTCCCAGTTCCCCAGAATAATAGGAACACAGAATGGGGAATTCATGTTATTGGGGATTCATGGATTTGGGGCTTAGGATTCCCATTAGAAATCGTGGAGGCACTTAAAGCGATTGGAG